GAATGTGGGTGGTTAAAGTCTTTCATTTATGGAGGCATTATAATAATAATAATAATTATTATTATTATTATTATTATTATTATTATTATTATTATCAATATTATTGTTGTGAAGCACACAGGTTTGGTTGTGTTAAAATGCTTTTGGGGAAAAGGGCAGTACAGCTCTTTTGACTTTTATTTTGGCACAGCACCCAAGGTTGTTGGGAACATGGGAAAATCAGGGGAGAGAGAGGTTTTTTTTTGGTGTGCCCTTTCGAAGTTGGGATTTGTTCATTTTTTTGTCTCTGGTGTGATTTCGGGCATTAAAAATGTTATGGTCATCTGAACGTGGAGTCCTTCTTCGGTTCTATAATATGTTATGTATCTTCGGAACACTCATGCCTTACATTATTATTATTATTATTATTATTATTATAGTTTTTGTTGTTATTTTTTAACTATTTTAATTTTTTTCTTGCTTGTTGTTATGATTATTTTAATTCTAATGTAATTTTTAAATATCCTTAAAGCACTTTGCAAACCCTGCAGTTAAAACAGTGCTATAGAAATAAAGATATATATTTTTTTTTTTGTGAAAGCTGGGGCCCAATAGTGAAATAATTCTGCCAACCCTGGGATCTGAACCAGCAAACTTCCAACCAAACGTACCAGGTCCTAACCTGCTGAGTCATACACTACCCTGGGATGCCAGGCGGATTAACCTTCATTCACATCCTGCTAACTTCTGACTGCAGCCACACCATTCTAAGCTACTGAGTCACATACAGAGAAACCAAACACATTTAGCAAATATTTAACAGCGTTATGTGGTCACAGTAATTTTATATCTCAGTCGGTGAGGAAACACCACACTGGTATTGATCGACACTCAAACCAAGTTTTTTTTATTACAGGGTTATTCTAGCTCCAGTGTCCATTTCCAGTTCACGTGTTTTGTCCAAAGGAAGACTCCAAAAACAGGGGGGGGGCAGTATGAGGGAGGTGAAGGGGACTAGAAGGGCAATGATGATGACGGCAGAGATTCACGATAGCGACGGCAGTGAAGAGGGGGGTCACTGCTCTCGCCTCCGGGTCAGGAAGTTGCACCCCCCACCCCCCCCCCCGACCATCTGTCTGTGGATTAATCCCCACAGTGCTTAGTGCCGTTATAGCCTGGCTTATCGCTAAAGCTAACAGCCCTCAATCCCGACTCGGCACAGAGCCCATGTGATCTCCTCGAAGGACAGGGATTGGGAGTATGCGAGGCTATTTAATAGTGTCCCCGTGTGAGGGAAGGGGGGGGTTGATTGTTGACTTAGCATTGCTTTCTTTTGCTATCGCTCTACTGAGAGACCATAGGAAGCTTTTCTCTTACTGCTAGCCAGCCCCCCCCGCCCGCCCGCTGCACAAACACAGGCGCACGTTTGGCAGAATCAGTGTCAAAGACAATATGTTCGGACACCTGGTAGAAACTGCTACACCGCTAACTGGGACTGCCAAGGATGTTGTACAGTGCCAGACATAGCAGTGAACACAAACAGTGAACCTCCCCCGTGTTTTTTTTAGCTTTGCTGGTTTAATCCCACTAAAGTGTTTCAGCATCACTCACTGGTACACTTTGATTACCAGTGGCATTAGTTGATTGCAACTGTCATTTTAGCTCCAGTTTATCATTAGACGACTGCACCTTATATAATATCCCAGCTAACAGGGAACGTTCCCAGAACGTTATATTACGGTGTTCTCAATGCTGGCAGAGAATGTTCTTACGGGAATGTTAATGGTACATTATTTCTAAGCTTTACATTTTAAGAATTCTGTCAATGTCAGCATGATAATATTATTACTTAACCATCCTTTTAATGGAGTTAATGTTCAAAAATACTGTTTTATAGTAAAATATCTTATAAAAGGAGTGTATGTGTATATTGCAAACACACCATTGAGTCTTGAACCCATGACCTTCCCACACCCTTCATTTGCTTCAGTATTATTAGTCTTAGTTGTAGCAGTGGGGCGAAGATCTGGGAACATCAAGAAAACTGGACACTTTGATTGTTTCCATACCTTAATCGTAACGTTCAGTAAACGTTCCTAGAATGAAAAATCGTGAGCGCAGACTGTGCCCTACTGCTGCCGTCACATAGTGATTGCCAGCATTATACAGATTTTTGTTTGATCCTTTCGTTTTTTCGTTTTTTGAAATGTTACCATGGGTGTTGCCTTTTAAGGTGACATCAATGAGCACACAAGGTTTAACACTCAAGGTTTTTTATTCAGTAATCGATTCAGTCATGTAATGTCATATGTCAGATATGTACAGGAAACAACCTTAAAACAAGGCCATTAGTATCAAAATCAAACCTGTGCTTACTTACAATAGCAGATTCAGTTTTCTTTTGTGTTCAAAGTCAGAAACATTTTTTTTCCACTAGGTTTCTTTTTAATGTCTGCAGCTGTGGGATAAAGCTGGGGGGCTGAGCTTTAAGGATGAGACGGCGTGGTTGTCCCATGGGGAAAAATTGTTTTCTTTCTTCACAATAAAGAAATTCCACCAACTGCATCATTTTGGTGTCTCCCCTTGACTGGCACTGAGTGCATAAATAAACACACCTGGTTAGTTAGTGAGTAGCTATTCCTGTTTACCATGTTTCACACATAAGTTTAACCTGTTGGCTTCTTGCTGGGTGCAATTCAAGAAGCATACTGTGGATTGCTTGAATGGAAAGAATTCTGATCTTCATGGACATGGCTATTTGGGATTTTGGGCAAGCATCCAACAAAGGAATAGACTTCAGCCTTTTAAATGTCAGAGAGAATCTCTGTTTGGTCCTGCATGGTTGTCATGATGCCATCAAACTTTTAGTTTTGAGATATTGGTTTAAACTTGATGCCATTAATACGAGTTTTTAAACCAAAACTAACTGATTTCTAATTCCTAATTCCCTGATTTGTTCTGGCGGTCAGTGAAGTACCATCTCATCTCTCATACATAATTTTTAATAAAGGATGCAGGGACACAATAGAGAGAGAGAGAGAAGGAGCGAAGGGAGAGGGAGAGGGAACTCTATTGTTATATCTTCACATATAGTGTAACTTCCTGTGTAAATATGTGAAACAGCAACACCCACGAGGAGGCAATTAACTTGGGCCACAGTAAGAGATGTGCCCGCATCAATGTGAGTACGGGAGAATGCTGACACTCTCTACTCTGACATCACCTAGAATGGTGTCACATTGTCATCCCCCACCTCTCATCCCAAACAGAAGCATCCTGCATGCGAAGCCTTGGCCACAATCATCATTACTGAGTCTCTCACAGGCATTATTTTAGAGACAATGTTCTTCAAGACGCGATGACCTTATTTATTTCAGACTACACGCCGTTCATGGAAATATGTAAATTTAAGCCTCTAATTTGCATGTTTAGGTCCTATGAGGAATTACATTAATGCTGACATGATGAATTCAGCACATGGAGGGCCAGCCTTGCAGCTTCGGTACATGGTATCAGCATCAGCCTTGGGATTGGGTTTTGGAAGCCTCACTGCTGAGTTCTCTCCCCTGGCTTGAGATTAGCTTGAAATGACACCGTAGTGCCGTTCTACAGCAGGCAGGTAGCTCGAGGGCTCTGAGATGAAACAGTTATGATCAGTCACTAGGTCACTAGCTACCATGGTTGACACCTCTCTGGTAGTTGGTTCAGACTTTGACTTTTGATTATAGGGTATGACCCTGACAGAAGCCTGAGCTTTAAGATGGGGTGGACAGCAGGAAACCTTCTCCAGACAAATTACTTCTGTTGCCTGGATGACAGTCTCCTTCCCAGGGAATATGACATCTGCTCTGTAGTTGGATCATTTTGGCCAATTCTACGGTGAGACTGACAGGGGCCTTGAAGGAGAAACGTACCCCTGCTGAACGTATGATTCATAGATGCTACCCCGCAGGTCTTCCAGTAAATTCTACGTGACAACATTTCTCTCGAAGTTTGAACTCCGGTGCTTGAAAAACAATTCAACGTTTAGTACTTCCAACAGGATTTCTATCTATCACAGGGGCTGCTTCTAATTGGAATGTAAGTAGCAAGCGGCGGCCTGCTGATAAAAGCACTCAGGACGTCGACCCAGAAAGATAAAATCGATGCAGTTATTCATAATATTGAGCTGAATTTAAATAACGCAGTTTTTCTGTTTCGCTATCAGGTCACGTCATGCTTCAGAGTTTTAATGAAAATTAACCAGAATTAGTCAGACTTTCGGGACACAACAGAGATTCGCCACATTGTTTAGCGCTTTGCAGAGGTTCACTAAGTTATGCACAAAGTTGCAGAGTCTATATGTGGAGATCATGAGACAGTGGAGAAATTGACACCAGTTGCTGCCCAACCTTTCAGCTCAGCCACCTCCAGTTCCCAGTTTGCACTGCACACACCCCCTCGACATGGGACTATGGTCCTGCCCTCCCTATGGTCCCCTTAGACAACCCAATCCAGTTGTTCACTGGAATGCCCTTATTTAAAATCAGCAGAAGCATGTCGTACATCGACAAGGTACGATTGTATAAACACATTTATATTCTAGTACCCCAAGTTGATGGCTTTTTATTGACGACCCATGACGGCGTATGTCAAAGGACTTTGTTTTGCTGGTTTGACTGTGTGCTACCCCTTAACAAAAATCTACCACCTCCACCCCCCAGAGATCAGTACACATGGTATGTAGGTACTGCAGTTTCCCCACAACCTTTCTTTTTGATGCCTGGAATGGTCATAACTCCTCAGCTTGCTGTCTCCAGCCCTTATAAGCGGGGAAAGTTAAGGAGGTAGAGTGGGGGCTGCTGAGGGGGGGGATTGGTGGTTGTTACAAGAGCTTCGCTGTAGGGGGAGAAAGACAGAGAGTTATCAAGGCCAGTGTCTATTCCTGTTTATAACAGGACTGTTGGGGGTGGTGGGGGGGGGGGGGGGGGTGTGGGGGTGGGGGGGGGGGGGGGGGGGGGGGGGGGGCGTAAGGTCCCTGAGTCCTTTGTCAACGGGTGGGGGGTGGGGATGTTTCTACTTTGAAAATGTAGCCAGCACCTAAAGCCTAAAGTAACAACCCACCAAAACTACAACACAGAGTGTTTCTCAATACTAAAAACGCAAAGATGGTACCTGCGCTCTCGCTACCTTGCTTTCCAAGAACAAACTTAGGGCACAATGAATCATGGGATTGGTCTCATTTGCAACCAATGCATCTTTGACATTGGCAAGAATGACATCCAGGGATTTTTTTTACTGTCCTCTGTACTTCTGTTCTTGAGTATTGGAACTGGTCTTCCCCTTCAGCAGCGGAAGATGACGTAAAACGGGTACGCGAGAGCACAAATACGGTCAGGTGTGCATATTGAGAGACACCCACAGTTTGGCTTTCCGTGAACCATGGCTTCTCAGGTTTTACACATAGAGAAATGAAACAGCAACCATAGCTAGAGCATGCGGGGACTATCGCAGGGACTATCGCAGGGACTACCTCAAGACCAAAAAAGGGCTTGGAGCAAGACGGTCTGCATGGCTTGGGGAGTTTAGAATCTGGAGACCCAAAAAGTAGCCAAAAGATCTAGGAAAAATTCTACCCAAATCTAGTGCAGCTGCAGCCATAACGGGAGCAGAAGATTAATGAGGCATAATACGAAATATATAGGTCCATTTTCTGTGCAACTTATGTAACAGACTTTACCGTAACAGATTTCAAGACTGCTTGTGTATTGGCACCTGACTCTGCAAACATTCTGCATTAACAAAGATCTATATACGAAACACTATTGTTACGTGCCACCTGTACTCCTGCTGTATGTTACACAGTCACCGCGTCGTAGAAATATCTACCGCGAAGAATATATACATAGATTTTGTAGTGTGCTTTTCAATTTACGTTTCTGAAAATCATTCTGCATAGACGACAGATTATATGTGTGTCGGTGGAATGTTTAAATATCCACAAACACTAGCAGAATGAAAAGGCCAGCCTTCGAATGCTCAATTCCTGAGAAGGTCTATGATTTCTTTATAGCTGGTGTATCCTTCAATATGCCCTTTATGTCTTCTAAACACCAGGCAACTGTATATATATAAAAACAGTGTTATGGTATATAATTGATTTTGTTATAATACTGGCTCTTTGTAATTATGTGGTTATCGTTTTGATGAATTGTTGAACTGACTGTAAGGCTGATGGGATTCTGGTCGTATAAAGAGTTAAGTGTAACACTAAAAGGGGACGACTGGCTCTCAAAGGAATGGGGAGAGAAAGGATGTCTGTTTCTGCTTAACGTCATCCAGACTCTGTTAGTCTTTCATTTGTAATGGGTTGAATAGGGTCCCCAAAACAAATCCTGCGTTTCTATGTTTATACAGAGCAAACAATAAAAGTCATGCTTACCCTAACTATATTCCATGCACTTAGCTTAAATCTTTCGTATTTTCAAAACCCTACATCAGTACCCTGGAGGTGCGTATAACCCAATCTCACAAGAGTAAAATCTGTTTGACTTTTCTATTTTCAAGTCTGTTTATCAAATTCGACACTTCTCCTATTACGTTTCCCAGTACATACAAAATACCGTTGACTCTATGTCATTCATTTACAGTACTGTACATTACACAGACAAAAAAAAAAAAAAAAAAAACAGAAGAGGAAAACGGAACAAAGTCAAGGGTGACAAATCAAAAGAAATAAAACAGTACATTGCATAAGTCTCAATAGTCCCACCATCTTGACATACAGTAAAAAAGGACACCACTGATCACGTTTAAAGGACACGACGCAGCAAGAGCCATGCAAAATCTTTTAGTCTCTGGTTCCACCAGCAAAACCCAAGGGAAAAGGAGAAGGAGACTGAGAGAGAGAGATTGACTTGAGCGAGTAGAATGCTAAGGCCTTGCTGCATCTACTCATCCTTTACTGTTCAACCGTAGAGAGAGACAGACATGCTTAGTGACTCAGCTCATTATAGCTCTGCATTTAAAGGCTGAAAAACAGTCTGTAGCAGCACCGAGGCCACGGGAAAGGTCCCGGGACACAGGACAACCCTGCCAATGGCAGCGACGGAAGCTTGGCGAGGAGATGATGCCAGCAGGCCATCTGGGAGGATCTCCCCAGCAGTTAGGACTCATGAGCCATTCCGCCTGACCAGGCCTGACACAACAGAGCTATCCAGAGCGTGAGCCCGTAAGGGAACAAAGGTGGGAGTCGATCCAAGGAGAAGAACTGAGACGCTGGCCGCGTCGGAACTCCTGCCACTTCTTTCACGTGGGGCATAGCGAGGGATGGAGGTCCCCGTACACTAGCCTGTCCTGCCTGGCCACAATAACTTTGGTCAAAGGATGCGGATCTTCTGAAAACATCAAGGGTCAAGACACGTATGTCTTCTGTAACCATACCTATGTTCAGATTTTCAGGATAGATAGATAGATAGATAGATAGATAGATAGATAGATAGATAGATAGATAGATAGATAGATAGATAGAAGTCTTTTTGTTTCCTTCGTTTTACTCAAGAACTCTTAACACAACATACTCCTCTATAAATTTTCTATGTAAATGTTGCTCTTCTACACACTCCCAAACTGCCTTTTGGCTTAAACTGGAACCAGTCTGGAGTCACTGCAGGTTCCAGATCTTTCTCGTCATGGGGTCCTATTTGAGAATGTGCACTTCAAATCATGACTTGCTGTTTCTGAAGACAAACCAGACATTCGTCTCTAATGACCAGATGTTGCATTCCGTCTTTACCTCCGCTCCCCCTCTCTCTCCCTCTCTCTCTCATTCTCATTCCCTCTCTATTTTCCAGTGTCGCCGAGACGAGATCACTGGAACTGGTTGAACATAGCGTGTTTCTGGAATCTGTGGGTGGGTGGGATAGGAAAGGTGTGCGTGTCTCCCTCCCGCTGGCCCAGAGATGCTGTTCACCCACCAGCACTTGGTTCTGGCACCACCAGCAGGCAAATACGGAAGGCCAGGCACTTCATGCTTGAGTGGGGAATCGTCTCCTTGGAAGGAACATCAGAGTCAGAGGGGCTCCTCCAAAGGGCAGTGTGCATGGTGCCATGCAGAGGAGTAGCACACATGCTAAGTGCGTCAGCCCTCTGCATCGTGCCTTCTTCTCCACCCAAGCATTGACCTCATGGTGCCCTTTAGTGACACTGGATCTCCAGCCCGGTTCAGAGTAATAGAAGACAAACCCACCCTGACCCAGAGCCAACAGGAGAGGAGAAAGCTAAGGCATTTCACATTAGCTTAGCACCAGGAGCGACCCACAGTTTCTGCACAACTTCGGACGTGTCGGAGCTCCTCACAAGCCTCTCTTCCTCCCTGCGAGGCTCGCTCCTGCTACAGTGCAACTTATTATTGCAGAATTGCTGACATATGGTTCCTTGGTCATCTATCTCCACTGCTTGAATATGCGTCTTATTGCCAGCTCTACGGGGCCCTCGGCGGGGCCCTCGGCTGATCGCACAGGGCTACATACACGTCAAAAAGGAAACGTGCTGATAAATAATCGCAACAGAGGCAGATGCAAATTCCTCCATTCGATTCAGTAGCAATGAGTTTTTCCCTTTAAAAATTACGCACAGTTATAAAAATCTGCCATTTCTGTCACTGCTTTGTAAACATGCCTTTTGCAAATTCACTACAAAATCATGTGGTTTAAGAATACAAAAAAATCATCAGGGATGAAAATTTTGAACAAACACAATCAATAATATACAGTTTTATATCCAATGCCCCCCTTTTCACCTCCTGTAAACTATCAATCAAAAGTCTCACCCTGCTCCCCTGTGGAACATAAATTAAAACTTGATATATATATTTCTGTTTTATATATTAATCCATATATTATATATTAATGCTGCATATATGCAGCAGTTGCATATGTTAATTTAACATATGCATAAACGCATTTTAATTTTACCACATTCACACGCTCAGATATAACACACAAATGTGTCATTTTAAAGGACGGCACTAACCCTGTCACCAAAAAAATCAAAATAATAGGACAAATCAAATTAATTACTTATGAAACGTTTTTCTCTTCTGTCATATAGAAGGGAAAGTTTAATTGATTCTCCCGTCCTCCAATCAAATCAAGACTCACTCACACACAGACGTAATGCAGCAGGAGAGAAAGTCGGCAGGAACAGGAGAGGTTGGATTTAAGGAAGTGGGTGCAATTTGCGCTGAGGTATAGAGCTTGCAGTTGTTTTGGGATTTCGTTTTCACGTTAAGTTAAACTTGAGGGGATATTTCAGCCGTACTTGCCTCTAAAGTTGGGCCCTGCAGTTAGAGCACAGGTGCTTAGCTGCACACGCTGGTCCGCGCGTGTGTCTACACTAACGGGTTATAAATTCACTGGCAGTGAAAGTGTCCGCATCTTCGGCCAAGAGGTTTGCATGAAACAGCACTTCCGTCGGAGCAATCCATGTCTGTGACACAGCTCCCGCGGTTTTCTGGAGAACACTTCAGGTGCTACTGTCTCTGCTTGGATTACAACCTTTACTTGAGTACCCTACTGAAGGTCAGAGCAGGAAACGTCAAACAAAGCCTTAATTTACACTCTCTGACGTCTGACCTCATCACCAGGAGTTGACGTCATCCAATTCAATCGTTTTTTAAGTCTTCTCTTGGCTTCTCTGTTGTGTTCTGGATGAAACCTGAAGGTTTGTGGCTTTCTGCAGGGCCGTGGCCGGGAGGGGGGGGGGGGATGGATTTTTCCTGGGCCCTGGACAAGAGGGGACCAGAATCTACCAATTTAACAAGGAGAACCCCCCAATCAGCAAAATCTACCAAGGAGGGGGCAGAATTCCTTGCTATGCACTTAAGCTTCTCTGCCTTATTTGGCTATCTTCTGAAAATCCTCTTGTTCAAAGGTCCTGATAAACGTTTGGAAATAACTGTGGAACGGATCTAGAACAAACATGCTCTTTTATTTTAGTCCAAAATTCTACCTCTGTCTTGATTACCTAGGATAACAGATGTGAACGAAAGGACCTATACTGTCCTACACAGAATATCAGCCCAATATTCTGAATGGCTTCAGACGTAGGCAGACTCGCTGGACTGGGTCCTGCCCATGTTGGGCACCTGGGACAGATGAGCCAGGTCCTTTTTGCGCAACTCGCCGATAGATTTGCGCCGGGCCTGGACTCCCCGGATGGCGCTCTTGATCTTGCGCCAGCCCATGTGGTGCAGCTCGGCCAGGTTGAGCACCACACAGATGCCGCTGACCGCGAACATGAACACCAGGAAGACCGTCTTCTCGGTGGGCCGCGACACGTAGCACTCCACCTCCTTGACGCACGGGTAGCGGTCACACTCGAAGATACTCGGCACGTTGAAGCCATACAGGAAGTACTGACCGGCCAGGAAGCCAATCTCTAGGGCGTTGCGGAAGACCACCTGGATGACATAGAAGCGGGAGATGCCCTCTTGCCGACGTACCTTGGCATTCTTCAAGTGGGTCAGCGCTCGCGGCACATAGGGGATCTCTTTCACCTCCAGGCTCTCAGATTCATCCTTTCCCCCGCTCTCTGCATTGTGGACCATGATGCCGTTGATATTACGCACTTTGCGGCTTCCCTCGCTACGCCCGTAGTCTTTCTCCAGCAGCGGATATACGAAGGAGTACTGGCGGTCACGCTGTTTCGCTGACTGGTGCACAGAGTAGGTGATGAAGCAGAGGCTGGGAGTGCACACCAGGATGATCTGGAAGACCCAGTAGCGGATGTGCGAGATGGGGAAGGCCTTGTCATAGCAGGCCTGGTTGCAGCCGGGTTGCATGGTGTTGCAGATGAACATGGCCTGCTCGTCTTCGTAGACGGTCTCGCCCACGATGGCCACGATCAGGATGCGGAAAATCACCACCACCGTCAGCAGTATCCTGGAGGGATGTGGAGGGAAGCGGACAGAAAGTGAGGAAGAGGATGGAAGGGTAGAAGATAAAGGGTTAGGGACAAGAAGAGGTACGGTAAGAGGGGTAGAAAAGTTACATTCAAGAGGTTTATTTGTCACGTACACAGTTGTACACATACAACATGTAGTGAAAGGTAACCAAAGTTCATCGTCCCTGGGCGGGCTTGAACCACCGACCTTTCAATTATCAGTTTCCAAACTAGCTAAACGATTACGCCACAGAGACTAGCAATGACATCGTTACCAGGAGTGGGGTTCCTGAAAGAACAACTGCGAAATTTTATTGCATGTGAAAATATTAAACTGTGAGCAGAGGAACGTTCAGGTCCAGAAAAGTACAAATCCAGACCAAGATTTCATTTTGACTAACCATGATTCATTATACTCAACTGTTTGCTTGAAACAACATTTTGGTCTGGATTTGTATTTTCTGAACCCGAACTTTCCACCTTTCATTGTGACATATTCACTGCACTAATCTGTCTCATTCTTGCATCTCTTTGAAAAAAAGCAACTGCTAAATGATGGTAAATGTCAAAATAAAATCTACAAGTGACATCTGCACATTCATCATATCAAAGTATTTATAGTAAAGCCAAAGACATTCATTTTCACCAGAATTAGAGCTCACTGCAGAGAGAAGTAACACCCTCAAGCCTTTTTGGCTCTTTAGTTAATTTTATCCACGTTCACAACATCTCAAGATTTAAAAAAAGACAACGTTTTGGCACTTATCCCCCCCAATTTTATCACATTCCTCAGCAACAGACGTCAAGCATGTGTATGTGTGTGTGCTGTGTATGCCCCCGAGTGCTTAATTTGTAAGTGTGCCGTGTATCAGCTTCCGCGCGCATATGTGCTGGCGCGAGCCTGCTCGCAATCGCATGACGTCATCCTCCAGAAATATCCCGTAATTTCGCGCGGCTCCGCTAAGCGTGCGCGCCTCCGGGCACGTGAGCTGGCGTTTTCGGGCGGGGAGGTGTGGAAGCGTGCCGTACTATAGATAGCTCGCCGCTATTAATTTATTCTCACTTTAATGAGGAGCTTTGGGGGGGATATATCTGCTGCAGCCAATGAGGTAAGAAGCAAATGTTTGAGTAAAGGTCTACGGTGGGGGCCGAGGTATAACCGTGGGACACAGGTGGTCTTTAGTTTACTTTTGCCCTTTCGTTAAACCACATCGCTCAATTTTAAACACTAGCTCTTAAGTCTTTTTCTCCCTCGTGTCTGGCCGATTAAAATAATCTGAATTCAAATGACATCAATAGATGGAGCTGCTATTGCATTTTTATGAGCAGAGTACTACTATTGTCATGTGATGAATTCCCGGTTCGATCATGCCGCTGAAGGCTTTATGCAAGGTTATACAAGATAATTTTCTTTGATTCGGGGAAAACGGTGCGAACATATCTGAACATCTGCCTCAGGGCGAAAGGTCAAACGGAGCCTTCAGATTAAGTCCCACTGTGCTGCTATTTCCATAAATTTCAAATGGCATTTGTTATTGGTTAAAAAAGACCCATATATATATATTTTAATAAAGGCAGTTACATTTTTAGGGCCTGAAATGAAGCAAAGCGATTTTAACGCTAGAGCGATGATATTGCTGCTGCGGCCACGGTAACACGCGCACACGCGCGTCAGTGGAAATCCATTAAACGTCAGAGCTGTCAGTAAACATGGGGCAGAACCTGGAAATCGTCAAATTATGGGTTGGTTAAAAGTGATTTATTCTAACAAAGGCAGGCTTACAATAACATGCCAGTGTGTAATATTTTATACTTGTGGAGATTAACCTTAAACGAGAAAAAAAGTAGGCAATGGATGAAGTGTCTCTTCGAGTAAAGACAAGCTCATCTAAGAGAATAAATTATGAGCATAAACACACAAACTGCAGCTTTCATCTCTGCATAAACCAGCAAAAGGCTTCTTGAATTAGCTTTTTTTTTAAAAAAAAAATTGCACACTATTACCCATTTTGTCTGTAAGATACTCATCTTCTCTGCTCTTCCTTTCTTTATATATTTTCATGCATTCACTTGTTAACCTTAGAGTCTCGCTCTTTTCAATCTTCTCTCTCACTCTTCAAGTCAACAGACTCTGGAAATTTTATTTTAATATTGTTTTTCACATCTCTTTAGGGGAAAATTATGTTCAAATTAAGTTAACCACTATATGTGCAATCATATATGCAACAGTCAAATCTGTTCGATGTGAAACAGCTTTTGTTTATAACAAATAATGATCAGTTTTTATATAATCACCCGCAAACCTAACCCAAAACACGCAGACCATATAAAAACGATGTGATATGTTTTATCGTAGCACATCGCTAAACACGTTCATTTTGAATTTCATTTCCGTATTGGATAGTGGTACTAAATTCCTGGAAAGTAATACATTTCACAGAATGAAATGCTGATGAACGTACGCCTCTGATTTACATTACAGCCACATAAATGCCACTCAGAATGAGGAGCCACTAAAAACATCGACAAGAAACATCGGAAATCAGATTCGCTCCCTTTCTTATGTCTGGTTTATCACTTTGTATTCATAATTCACAGGTGCCAGTGTCATAACTGCTGAGGTAAACTGTTAACAGAGGTGAGACTGGGCGTATTTATATCCTTGGAGTACAACTACCCCCCCCCCCCCCCCCCCCCCCCCCCCCCACCCGCCACGATTCACTACTCCTTCCCCCTTACACCCAGCTCCCGCAGATAGTTGCTGTGGCAACTGCATCCTTAAGCACCCCCACTGAACGGTTTGCCGGAGAGCCTGAGCGTAAGAGCGTGGGGAGGCATTTTTCTGGTCAGGCTATCAACTTGGAGATTATTAATATTATTATTTTTTTTCTGTGTGTGTGTGTGTGTGTGTGTGTTTTCTGCTTTGCCCATCACTGATGTCTCACCAGCATTGGGGGGGGGGCAGAAATGAGGCTTATGCCGAAACACAGTGACCCCACGGGAAACCTAAACGGAGAGATTGCAGAGTGCAGTGCGAGTAAGACACGGAGAGAGAGAAGGAACACATGGGGAGGTGGCGGTAGGAAGAGGAAAACGGAGGGATGGAAAAGACGAAGGAAGATGGGGGAGGGATTCTGAGAGGCTGGAAGATTGATGGAAGGACAGGAGGTAGAGATGTAGCAAGCTGTGACCATCACCGCCTTCCCTTGTTTGCAACGTTTTCAGGTGTGGACTTCATCAGACCTTCTCCCATGCTGGTCTGTGCTTATATTACTCTACGGTGGCTGACTGGTGGGGATGCTGGCCAGCCACTTGGTCTGGTTGGAGACCCTCAAAGGTTTATATACCTGCTATAAGGCTTCATCTGACTTCACCAGACTTTAGACATGATTTACCATTAACCATTGGTATGTCTGCTACACTACACTCTTCTTTATTAGGTTTATTTGAACGTACAGTGCTGCTGCTAATCGCTTGTTGAATACTTTGAGGAAACGATGTTGGGAATAGTCCTATTTAAGGAACTGAATTGAAGTGAATTGAATTGAATTACATCACGTTAAGCTTGAGTCTAACACATGGCTGAATACGTTTTCAGCGGTTATATCCTGTGTTTCTACTCGTGTTTGAAAGGGTTTTTTTCTTTAATGCCCGTATACCGACATCTGTGCTTGCCAGTGCAGGGTGCACTGCATCACATTCATTCACGTGCGCCGGGCGTGATTGCAGATCCCTAAACGGGGGATCAGGAAAACTGAGGATGCGGGAGAAAAGAGGTCTGCTGGTGACAAGCTTGCACACCTATCAGCTCTCGTCCCGGGGGGGGGGGGGGGCAGTCAATGCAGGCTCATCTGACCGCTGCCATTTGGCTGCTCTGTGCCGCCCGTCTTAGTCGCTCATGACAAAGGTTGCTGTTGCGTCTTATCAGTCTTCAGTGACAGCACTTCAAAGCTGAACCCTTCTGCTTTCCTTAGAATTTACTGTATTTGTGTCTAACATCAGAATGGACTGTCTCCCCCCCCCCCCCCTTCACCCTTTCTCTCTAATTCTGATGTCTCTGCCTTCCTCTCTGACATCCGTCCAGAGATCATTCTGTATTTGCATCTGCACGGAGGACAGGTCGCACCCTTTCGCCAGCACTGTAGATAATTGCGTTGGCTTTCGACTGGACTGTCCCTCTCTTACAACCTCTACTGAAACACAAGCACGGCATGTCCTCGCGGGGAAGGTCACATATTATTTGGTGAGCTGTCAGGGAGTCCCATTACGACGACACAATAAAGAATCGAGAGAGGCTTGTGGTTTTTTTTTGTTTGTTTTTTTTTTTGAGTCACTCGGTTTTGAGTCCTGCTGTGGGCTATGTTTTCGTCTGGGATTATGTCATGTGATCTAAGTCCAAAAAAAAAACAGGGCAATCATTTTAAAATACAAATCACTGGGGCAAGTGAGACCAGTCTTTTTTTTTTTTAGAGTTATTCAATGCATTTAGTTATATATCAATAGGTTTCAAGTGGTACCGGAAAACTAGTGTACTACATTACGTATTACATGTATTCTTAAAGTTATATATACCACTAGCTGAATGCTGGTGTTTGAAATTAATTAATCAACAACAAACAAAGCATGTCCACTGTACAAGAGTGTGTTTTAAGGTGCCCACCAGTTCCTGTGTGGAGAAGCTTAGTTTCATTCAGACCCCAGAGTCGTCACTCTCTCCCACCTCCCCACACTTCATGCTCTGGTCTCCATACACTCTGATCCTCAGTTGTGCCAATTAAGATTAAGATGAACTTTCTAGGTCCTGGGGGAATATTCCTTTTAAAATCTATTTTAAAAAAATTCACCCACTGAGCAAACAGCATAGAAAATGCATGATTTGCATGTTCATTAGGAAAGCGTCACATGGTGTATGTTCCAGAAATGGCATGTCCTTAGATAGTATTGGCAGCAGTCGGCGCAAATTATGTCATGGTTACATGAAAGTAGCCTCATCCCGGCC